CAATTGTTTTTTATCTTCAATTGTAGGAACTAAATTGAATATAAGTTGAACTGTAAGGACTAAATTAAATATAATTTAAACTATAAATGCTAAACTATAGCGACGAGCCATCTTCGACCTCTATCTTTCTCTCTACCTCGCTGAAAAAACTCAAGCCGGAGTTTATATGGCGGTTGAAGACTAAAATATTGGAATATGTTTTAATAAAAAAGTTATGGCATCGTTTTAATCAGATTTATAGGTTTTCTAAAAGCTGTTTTGATAACGAGTTCCTATCGGGCAATTCATTTAAAAAGAAAATAATTTTTTTTTTTTAATAAAATTAACTTACTTATCGTTTTTTATTTATTATAATAATTGATTGTTAAAAACGGTTGTTTTTGTTTGAGTTGTATATATGTGCCAAGTTTTTGACAAGTTAGGAGTGTGTAGGAGATACTTTGCTAATGAGAGAAAAATTAGAGCACCATCCGATAAAGTATTTGTTTTATTTTTTGTACTCCCACTTAAACCCAAAAGCCATATAATTTTTTAGTTATATGTTTGGGTAAGGGTAGTGTTATTTTATTTAGAGTTTTAAATCTTATAAGTAGCGCAAACTTGTAAGGACACGACAAGGTAGGCGAGCTTGTTGTATGTACGAGATGGTGTGTAATAAATTCTTTATCCGTTGTATCACATAAATTTTACGGATGGCGTGTATCGTCTCAAAAAAGCAACCTGGTTGTGCCTCGAAGCCGATCATCTAAAATTATGGTAAAACTATTTTTTATTGTTCGATCATCTTAATACCGCGAAATATGGTAATGTGACTTTAATCATTAATTTTTCTAATGATCAAGGTAAAAATTTCAAATTCTTTATTTATTTTAATTACAATAAAGTTATTTATTTACTTGTGTCAATATTTACTATTTAATTATGTTCCTTTTTGTGTGTTAAGAACAACACTTTCAGTCGATGCCATGTCGTGATTTAATGATAAAAAAATGTGAAATGAATTTGGGCATGAAAAATTTTAATATATATTTATAATGTCAATGCCATACTTATTTATTGTGATTTTTTTTATTAGTGTTTGATGATTCTTGCTACTTAATTGAGAATAAAGCAAGTATTGAAAAAATATATTATTTTGTCGACATCTTAATTGGTTGTATACATCTAGAAAATTTTCTTAATTGAAAATAAATTTATAGATGTTAATTAGCCATATGAAAATTTTATTTATTTATTTATTGTCTTATTTGACTCTTACATCTAGACCATATATTGTTATGGGTGAATTGATAATTCTTTATATGTGATAATATATATATATATATATATATATATATATATATATATATATATATATATATATATATATATATATATATATATATATATATATATATATATATATATATATATATATTAATTCTTTATTTTATTGAGCTTTAAAGACAATAAACTTATTTCAATGTCGAGTCCTTTATTCGTGTGATTATGTTGCTCTTGAGAAAAAAAAACGATGATGAAATTATCACCACCATGTGGCTAAGGAGATAATAAGATCATGTTTGATGAAAAATAAATATTATTTTCTACTAATATATTTTATGTGCATGAGATTATTTACATATTGATCCATAATATATTTTGCATCTTATGGTTACTTATCAAATAAATTGAAGGTCAATAAATTGATAGTGTTAAAAATGAATATTTGTAACATTGATCATGGTTTTAATTTATTTGTGTGAATTTTAGTATTGATGCAAATTTAAATAATTTGAAAAATGATTTATAAATTCATTTATATTGTTCAATGATAATTGACATTAAAATTACTTGTTTTGTTGTGATGTCATGTGGTCGAGATAAATGAGAAGTCAATGAGAACAAAAATATCCAATATTTTTATATGGATATATTGATCATCTTGGATGCAAAGTCGAGGAAATCAAATTTATGTGGCATTGGAGGCAATGGAAGCTTGGTCAATAAAAAGTATTTTAAGTCTCTAACGGTACTTACTATACAATAAGTATAAAAAGTCAAGTAAGTATTTTAACTATCAAATTATTAAAGCTCTTTGATTTTTACTTTATATATTTGAAATTTACTTTTGATGATGAAAATATGTGATACTTGTATTTACAAGTAATGTTATATTGTTGTATGGATATTTATTGGCCAATACATGAGTTTTTTAATCTATAAATTGTGATTCAAAAAAATGGAGGGGGAAATGTGAATGTCATATAAATTCTTTTTAGTGAATGTTTGTAAACTAATATTGGTTCACATAATTGTTTTATTAAGACTTGAAAGGGCCACATATTAATTTAATTAAAATCAATTATGATTGAAAGCTAATTATTTTTTTGTGTGATTCTATTGACGTTGTCATTATAATTTATGTTTGACAACCATATCTAATTGTGGAAATAATAATCTTGTTAGTAGATTATTAGTAAGATAAAGTGGCAACGTACATGAATTAATAAAGAGCTTATCATGTAATATTTTCTATGTGAAAAATAAAATTTGATATACTATATATATATATATCTTGCTGATTGTTTAGCCACAAGAAATAAATTATGAATGTTGATGATGAAATAATAGAATAATGCATGTCATCACTTTGTCTATAGTTGTAGTAAGAACATTATTTATTAAGTGAATAGTGAGGATATAAAAAAATGTTGTTGCATTAAAATTTTGTTTGAGAAAATTATTATGTAATTCAAGATAAATTATCATAATTCTCTCGTGATGATGAATTATCGATCATAATTTTTCTTATGATGTTTGAATTTTTACCACATGTAAATTTTTAATGTGATGCTATTGAAAATATTTATAAAAGCATTCCTATCATACAAAAGGTATAATGATGCTTATAAAATATTTGGTAAAAGCATTCCTATTATACAAAATGTATAATGATGCTTATGGAATATTTGGCAAAAATTTTGAGAGAAATGATGAAATTAGTGACACTTCTACTATACAATTAAGGTACAATGGTGTTTTGATAATATTATCCGATAAGTGAAATTAGAGACACTCCTATTGTATAATTAAGATACAATGGTGTTGTAATGATATTGTCTAATAAGACAATTGATGATATTTTGAGAAATTTAAATCTCTAGCTAAATATTGACATTCTTATTGTATAGATGAGATACAATAATGTCAAATTTGTATAAGAAACTAGAGATGAGAAAATATCCCTATTCACTTCAATGTGATTATATTAAATATTTTCCATTGTATTAGAAAATACAATGATGCCATCATATTTTAGCACAATGATGAGGATGCGAAAAATAAATAGTATGTTTACCATTAGCTCAACTACGTGCGTAGTGAAACTTAAATTGGCTAAAAAGTCAAAGCCAATAAAAAAGTAAGCGGATGCCAATGAAAAAGAAAGCAAGTGAATGTTTTGCTTTGTCTAAAATAGTAAGGATGAAAGATTCTTACCATTTGTTTTAGCATTGATAAAGTGATTAAGTGCTAGTTACCTAATCCTTTAGGAGTATATTGAATATTATGGGAGTAAATCTTTAGCTAAAGTCAAATGATTAGATGATACATCGAGGAGGATGAGACTAAGCCCATAAATGAATAAAATCATCTATATGGATACTCGACCTAGGGATCTGGATAACCCAAGAACTAGGTTCAAGGAGAAAAACAAGTATAGAGTGGTTTGATTACATGCACAATATATTTGAGTTACAATACTCATATGTCTATCCATATAGTGTAGTGCATGGATCCCATAATGAAAGAAAGGCTAAGTTTCTTTAAATGAAACTTTTTTCTATAGTTCTTTTTGAATGAAATGTTAGAGTTATGGGAGCATCCTTGATAGACACACCTATATGATCGACGAAGTGGGGCCGCTTCTTATGAGAATTAGGTTAATTTTCTAGAACACTTATAGAAGCGGGATCAAGCACAATTTCGTTAATGTGCTTGGCTCCGAAACTCGACGCGAGTACTCGAATATAATATGTATGATACAATAGTTGTTTCACTTAAAAAGCCTTAGTTCAAGACAATGTTCACTATTGGCTTGAGAGAAATGTTGTTGAAACACTAAGTAAGGGTTCAAGTCATTGGCACCTTTATTATGTATTATATTCATTTACTTACCCAAAAATATGGCTTATATTTTATTAAAAAAATAAATGGGGGATTGTTGGAATATTTTTTAATAAAAAAGTTATGGCAGCTAGTTTTAATTAGATTTGAAGGTTTTTTAAAACCGTTTTGATAATGATTCCTAACAAGCAATTCATTTAAAAAGAAAAAAAAATATGTTTTTTTTAATAAAATTAACTTACTTATCATTTTTTATTTATTATAATAATTGATTGTTAAAAACGGTTGTTTTTGTTTGAGCTATATATATGTGCCAAGTTTTTGACAAGTTAGGTGTGTGCGGGAGATAGTTTGCTAAAGAGAGAAAAATTAGAGCACCATCCGATACAATTTTTGTTTTATTTTTTATACTCCCACTTAAACAAAAAAGCCATATAATTTTTTAGTTATATGTTTGGGTAAGGGTGGTGCTATTTTATTTAGAGTTTCAAGTCTTACAAGTAGTGTAAACTTGTTAAGACACGACAAAGTGATTGAGCTTATTGTATCTTTGAGATGATATGTAATAAATTCTTTATCCGTTGCATCGGATAAATTCTACGGATGACGCGTATCGTCTTAAGAAAGCAACTTGGTTGTGCCTCAAGTCGATTATATAAAATTATAGTAAAACTATTTTTGATGATTCGATCATCTTAATACCGCAAAATATAATAATGTGACTTTAATAATTAATTTTTCTAATGATAAAAGTAAAAAGTTTAAATTATTTATTTATTTTAATTTACAATAAAGTTATTTATTTATTATGTCAATATTTACTATTTAATTATGCTCTTTTTTGTGTGTTAGGAACAACATAAGCAATAGTTACTTTTTTATTAAACTATAACTTAGCCTGAATTTAGAGCTTCGTCTGGAAACTGCCTTTCTATATCAAAATTTAATGCCCTTCTGCAAGACTTTTTGGCCGGTTCAATTGTCTTTGGATTAGTAAACCATCCATTTGCTCCTGCTGGGGTACTAGTTGATGCTTTATTGAGCGCTGTCTTTGGAACATACTTTCTCTTACCAGTTGGGTTTTCTGTAGAAGCAGCAGACTTTAGGTTGCTGATTTTTGTGACCCTTTGGGTTTGCCTTCGTTGATGAACTTTGGCCTGTGCTTTTTCCTCGTCGGTATCTGCTGTGGTGTTCTGTTCAGGTTAATAACATCTTTGGCTCTCCTGTAAGGGTTGTGATTCTTCTTTAACGCAGGGGACGCAACAGCAAATGACGAATTGTTGCTCTCTGTTGAAGTTCTTTGTCAGTTTGGAGGCCACTGGCATCAGCCCCCCGGAAGCAATTCCATTCTAACTTGATTTCTTCTCGCATATGTGCATAAATTTTGCATTTCTGTGATCTTTTTGGACTCGACTTTCTTGCCCTTGTCTGGCGTTACAGGAGCACACTGGTCGGCAGAGAATGCATCTGCCTTCCCCCTCAAAGAAATTACCACCATAAGCAGTTCCATGAAAAATAGATATTTAATGGAGACTAAAATTATTTCCAGATCGATGAAGAAACTAAATTAAAATTACTAAGACTTCTCTTGGGAATGATACTGGAAAATTGTTTCCACATCCTAGTTAAATATATATATTTTTTTCTTTTTCTGGACATGAGTGACATGCAATTAAATCTTTAATTTGTTCGAGTGCGATGAAGCAATGCCAGATTGGTTATACTTACGTTTGGGTTTCTGGGTGTAGCTTCCAAGAACCCATGGATTTGTTCCAGGGGAGGAATGCTCCTTGGAAGCTGCATCTGCAAGAGCCAATAGAGGGTCGTCCAAAGACATAATGTTCCATGTAGCTGTGTCACCAATGCGGCGCTCTCTGCATTTTAAACTACGGTTGAGTTTTTTCAGCAAGGCAGAGAGAAACAGGATTAGGTTAAAGATAGCAGGTTTATAGTTTTAATCATATTTAATTTAATTTCTGTAATTGAAGATAGAGAAGAATTAATTTGACTTGTCATGACAAGTGTTTTTTTGTTTTTTAAGTATCATTTTTTTCCCGAAAAATTTACCGGAAAAGACATCAAATAGGCTATGATAAAAAGGATCACAAATAAAAAATGTGAAGAATAGAGGGACATTTCTTGCTATTAATCCAAGCTCAAGTCGTAGCATACTGTGATAAAAAATTAAAAAGGGCTTAGTCTAGCTGGCACATTCCCTCACAAAATTATGTGCCCCACAGATCATTCCATGGAGAATGCTCACAACTCAAACTGTCAACCTAAAAATTTATGAGTGAACATTATCTTGTTAGCATCAAGGGAAAAGGATAAATGGCATGGCTTTGATTCTAGGTCATCCTAGCTGGGAGCTTGGATAGGAGGAGGAGCATAATTTTGCTTCAAGATGATGTCCTTCTGGGTGGGAGAATGAATTGTTTATTTGTTGTTAACTGGACTGGACCAATCCTTTTTAATTGTTTCCTGATAAATAAACTTGACAAATAATAATAATAATAATAATAATAAAAAATTATTTATATCCTGTATTTTTATTAATTTGTCATAAAAAAATCCTTTTATTATCAGTATAGTCAAATCAATTTTTATTTTCAGTTTCATCTGATTGAGGATAATTTGTTAAAATTGAACTCACCCACTTGAGTAGTCTTTTTAGCTACTTCAATCATTATCATCAACTTTCATTTCATTCTCGTTAATATCATCACTTACCTCCACCAACCTCATCCTTCTTATTAACACCTAATTTTTACCTCATCTAATTTTTAAATTTTGTGAGTTAAAAAAAAAAAAAAAGAATTATTTCAAATAACTGGCTCAAATTAGATTTGAGAGTTTAATTAAAAAAAAATACAAAGTATAAGTACGAAAGACAACTCAATTGAGGATCCAATTGAAAAATCCAAAACCTCAAATCCTTAATTGAAGGAAAGGAGGGGGTCCAATTGAAGGAAATTAGATGAAAAATGCTTGATTACTTCAATTAGGGGTGCGATTAAAAAAATAAAAAAAATGCAGACTGAAATTAAAAAAAATAAAGGAAGCAAGCACTCAAATTGATGTTTCTCAAACTTTGATTTTCGTCCCCATAAATAGGCACCATTCACTAAAAATTGAGGGGGTAGCCATTTTTGCTTGTTCATCTTCTTCCTGTCCTACCATTTACCACACACGAAACCTGTCATCTTCATCCAAATCGACCGACCACCCACCTAAACTACTCTATCTTCGACCAAGAATCACACTGTCACCACCCAGCCACCACCTTAGCCACGTTAATCAAAACCCACATACCACTAGCCATAGTTTTAAATAGCGATCGCGGTTGAAAAAACGATCGCGATAGTAAAATAAAGGTCGCGGCAACCGATGTTGTGAATACATTAGCAATTGTTAATAGTTTTATTCTGATTCATATATTTTAACGAGTTTTACTAATTAAACATAATAATAAGTAATAACATCCTTAATAGTCTAATATCATACAATAATAGTTGAATTTATTATATAAAAAAAAGTTAATAACACTTATAATAGATAAATATCACAAAAAAATAATAAAATATATTACAATTTCAATAAACACATTACAAAATAGTCATCTTTAAAATAATTGTCATTATGAATTATAATAATAGATATCATTCTATTGTTGATGTTATGATACTTGTCCATCTAAAATTACAACCATAAATAGTTTTGAAAATCAAATTATAAAATAACATAAAATTAAAACAATTATAGTAAGTTTTTAAAATAATAAAGATCATCTAATTTATTTTTTCAAACTAAAAAGACTAATTTATAATTTATTCAATTAAAGCTGCATTTACTTTAGAGACTTTGAATTTGCGCATGCAAGACAGTCAAAGTAGAATAATAAAAGATTAAATTATACATTAGTCTTTCTAGTTTTAATAAATGAATTAATTAGCTTTTAATGTTTTAAAAACTAATTATTTAATTTTTTAATCGGTATTGAACATATTTAATGTATTATATTTTATTCTATAAAATATTTTTTTTATCAATTTTTTTCGTGGTATAAATTTCTTTTTTCCTTTTTCTATTTTTTAAAACAAAAAATATAAAATGAAATAAATAAATAAATTATTAATTTTTAAAATAAAAGGACTAACTAAATTATTATTTCAAAATAAGAGGACTAATTTCTATTTTATTGAATCAAAACTTGCAAAGGCATTTGATATAAATCTTCACGTGGCCTCTTGTCTTTTTATCAAGTTCTCTCTCTTCTACCCAGATTTGCTTCTCTGCCTGTCGTCATTCCAAGTTCCTCACTCCTCTGATCTGATAGCAGCCAAAGCTTGCTCCCTCTCAGCCTCATCCTCGCTGCCTCTCGTCATTGCCTAGTGCCTGCCTCTCTTCCTCTCTGCCTCTGCCTCTCGTTACTATCGGAATTTCAGCACCTAAAATGGCTTGAAAAGCTGACCTTTTTTGTCACGCCTTTATATAACGACAAATAACGGCGTTACATAATGATAACGCCGTTATTTACCCTTATCTGTGTAAAATGACGTGGAGGCTCCTATAACGTCGAAAAATAATAACGGGATGCCCCGTTATCGTTATATAACGATCGTTACACTACGTAACGGTCGCTTTTATAAACCATGCTATTAGTCACCCCCGTCCATCCTCCTCTCCACCAAGCCGGCCACCACCTCCAGCTAAGACCCCCCAAAAGCTACTGGATTCCAGCATCCCTAAGTTTACTCGAGCTTCTCCAACTTCCACTCAAACTCTACCGAGATACCACCCCTTTTGTAATCAACAGACTTTAGCTCCATCTTCAACCTCCAACCGAACTAACACCACCTATACGAGCTTCATCTCCTCCCTTACTGCCCATAACCTAACCCCAAAACACCAACCACTAGCCAAAAAATCTTCACCTAAAACCAAGCAGCCTCTTCTCACGTTAGACCAAACCACCACAGTTGCTCCATTTCCCCTACTGCACCAATCATAGAACTAGACCAGACCACCATAAAGCTCCATCATACAACTTCACCTGGAACCCAGCTACTGTCTTTTTTTTCCAAAAAAGAAAACAGACATGAACGCTCCTTTTCTAGTTTCTTTTCCATTTTCTTTTTCTTACTACTAAGGTCGAAACATAAAGAAAAATGAAAGACCTCAACCAAGAAACCACGAGAGAGAGAGAGAGAAGCCGAGACCTTACCCAAAATTAGTCCTAAAATTTCAAACAGAACAATAAAAAAAAAAAAATGAAATGGTTTACTTTTTTTATTGTATTGTTTGGCTAGAATCATTTGCTTTTGTAGACTGCATCTTGTCTGGATTGTTTTTGTGTTAAAATAGTGAACAAGATAAAACCTAAAAAAAAATAATTAGTTTTTCTAGATCAAACATCAACAACATTGCTTAACGCTAGTCAGCCTCACCTCTGTCTAACAATTTTTTTGGTTGTACGTGAACCATTGTTCGAAAGGCTCATTCACTATTCCACTGGACTCCTTCGGCTGTAAACTATTGTACAGTAACTCAATGACTAGCTGTCATCTACTAAAAACTTCTCTCAATGCCAGTGTTGTCAAACAACACATCGTCAAACGTTTAACTCTCAACAATGGAATTTTTTTCAAACAAGGCACACAAATTTTTTTCTTGATAACGGGAAGTTGCTCTCTTTTTCGGTTAACTGAATAATCAGTTCTCATCGAGAAAGAAAAGAGTAAAACTAACCTTTAAATACGAGTTTTTGGCAATTTCAGTATCTTTTGAGTAATATTCAAAAATTTGTACCTATTTGATATTATTGATCAAACTATTTTATTTGGAATATGAAATTTCCTTAAATGTAATTGATTAAAAATCTTGATCATGATATGTTAAATGCGTAACATTCATGTTCAAGGCATCATATCCAATTTCTTTACTCAATTAAATGTTACCCTCATGTTTTCTACTCTTCGGAAAAGAGGCCATCGTTAGTTTCCCACCTATGTTGATGAACCTACTAGTGGCTCCCAAATAATTTTTATATGATTTTTGATCACTAAAATGAAGTTGTTGGTCACTTTTCACATATGTTATGGAAATGCTAGAGATTTTGAAGTTATTTTATATGTTTTCTACTCATAAAAAAAGAGAGCACTAGTGACTTTCCACCTATGTGGACGAAGGCGCCGAGTGGCTCTCAAACCATTTTTATTTGATTTCGATAATTGAAATGAAGTCATTAATGGCTTTTCACTTATGTGACAAAGTCTGTTAGTATAGGTGCTCTAGATCCACTTGTTTGGATGGTTTGATTTATTGTATTATTGAATTTTTAATATTAATAAAGAAGTTTTTTTTGATTAATTCTTGTCATTTATAATTTTATAAAATTAAATAGAAGTCTATATGATATGCATTGCATTAATGATTGATCAATTGATGTGAGACAAACATTGACATATTTAAATAATATCATTAAATATTCTAAGTCACAATATTGAGAAGATTAGACATTGAGAACATATGGTAAGACTTTTTGAGTGCTATGCTCTTTCTATAAGATAAGCTGTGAGAGATTTCACACCTACCGACATGGTGATGCTAAAGTAAGAACTTAGGTTAATAATGTTAGAGAACATGTCATTGGATGAGAGTCTCTATGAGAACTCATTTGGTTTAGTCTATGAGAATCTCATACGAGATGTGTACAATTGGTCTTTTGACTTAAAATTATATGATTATTTTATTAGATGATTGGTATACTTTGACACTCATTTTGATTGGTTCATTAAAGAGCTTTATATCGGTGATTCGTTGGGTGCATTAGGAATC